GACTCTCAACCACTGCGCCACCAGGGAAGCCCTAGAGTGACTTTTTAATAATTTAAATGTGGGTACTATTAATCAGGCTTAAAAAGTGTTATCCAAACAAGTCACCATTATTAATTTTTTTTCTTTTGGAATTATCAGACAAGGCCATGAATCATGTGTTCAAAGAGTTAAAAAAACAAATGGAGGCAAGTCATCTTTATAAATAACTATTTAATATACAATCCTTTCTCTAAACCTTATTGTTTTTTATTGTATCTGAGTAGACTGGTATGAGAACTATTGGGAAGTGGAAAAACAATTTATAAAATTTTAAGGGGGACGTCCCTGGTGGCGCAGTGGTTAAGAATCCTCCTGCCAGTGCAGGGGACATGGGTTCGAGCCCTGGTCTGGGAAGATCCCACATGCCACGGAGCAACTAAGCCCGTGTGCCACAACTACTGAGCCTGCACTCTAGAGCCCATGAGCCACAACTACTGAACCTGAGTGCCACAACTACTGAAGCCCGCATGCCTAGAGCCCATGCTCCGCAACAAGAGAAACCACCACAATGAGAAGCCCGCTCACCGCAACTAGAGAAGCACGCGTGCAGCAACGAAGACCCAACCCAGACAGAAATAAAATTAATTAATTACTTTTTAAAAAACTTTTAAGGTATTAGTGATACAGGTATTCTGGACCATTAATAAAATATTGGTCAGGAACAACTGACTTAACGCTAGAATATTTTATAATACTGTGAATATAATCTGATTTTTAGAGGTTGTCTTAACCCATTTCAAATGTCACCTTCTTTCTGTCTTTCCTTGACCTTTCCCCACCTTTAAGACAGGAAGAATTATTTGAGCTTTTGTAGACCTTTGATATAGAACTATCACAGTACAGTGTAGAAGGAGACAGGAGCCATCTCTTCTGTAATTCTAGCACTTAATACAGTATTGCATTGTTCGTTTAAATTGAATTGTGTACAGATTTAATTTGTGCAGGAGCTCGATTGAGCAAAGTTCTTTTTCTCTGTTTTTTTGGAATGCCTTCTTTGTGTTAGTCACTGTATTACATAATAATAAACTAGAACTAAGGTATGTAAATTGCTGCATTATTGCTACAAATTAATTCAGCAGTGTGAATCAATTTTGAATAATAGTTGGGTAGTTCTAATTACTTGGATTTTCTTACTTTGGTGATATTGAAAAAAGTAATTCCGAATGATGTTTTATTTCCTAGTGTAACTGTGAAGTACTATGGAAAAGCGTCTCATGCTGCTGCTTATCCCTGGGAAGGACTAAATGCATTAGATGCTGCTGTCCTCGCCTACAACAATCTGTCTGTGTTAAGACAACAAATGAAACCTACCTGGAGAGTTCATGGTACGAATGTCAAATACTTTGGGTAATAGATGGCACTTAATATATTTCAGTGCAATATAATTCCTTAATATTTGATTAAAAAAACATTTGGGAACATTTTACGTACTTTATGAATATTCCAAAAATTTTTAACATTTTCAGAAATTCCTGGGACAGGATACTAGATGTTCATTTATATGTGGGCAAGAAGATAGTTAAGATTATTTGTACATAAATAGAATGGTCATTTTGAGTATTAGAAATAATGTTTTTATGTAAGGATCTATGTTCTTTCTGTGGATATTTGAAAGTTAGAACTTGATTTTTCAGTTATCTTCACTGTCTCTTAATATTCTGTGGGTATTTGAAAGTTAGAACTTGATTTTTTCAGTTATCTTCACTGTCTCTTAATAACAAAATTTCATCATTTTCTCATTTAAAAAAAAAAGTGGTGGTTACTGGTTTTATGTACTCAAGTGCTGTTAACCCTAAGTAACATCTTTTTAAATTATGTGTATCACCTTAATATATATGCAGTAATAAAGTATTTCTTGAAGGTACAGATTTATTTTTTAGTTTATTTCCTTATGATTTAAGAAATTATTATACTTTAAGATCTGTTCTTTGCCTGATTTTGCTGTAGTCTGAGATTAGTTTGTAACTGCACTTTTACCAATTTTCTACGTTAGTTTCTTTAAAAAGAATAAACAGGAATATGTAAAAAATATATTTTTTAAAACAGGTCATATAAAATAGGTTTTGCATACTTATTTTCATTATTATTTTGAATGGATACATCTTCCTTCTCAGTCTAGTTCCAAATAAATGCATTTGTTTTGACAGTGGTAGTATATTTTCTCATCTTTGACTTGCATTTGTTTCTTGTTGGCATGAAAATTATTCTCCCAGAGCCAAACGCTATTTAAAATGAGATTCCTGAGGTATGAGGGTAATTACAGAGGCTCATACCATTGGTTTTTTTCCTTATGTCAAAAGTTTATCAAAATGTACAACTGTAATAAAACGCACTGAAATAAAAGTCTCTCCCAGAAGGCTTAAGATAGTTGTAAAAATTTGTAGCAGTTTCTTTATAGTCAGGAATCATAATTTCTTAACATCGTATAAATTCCTCAGACTAAAGTACATATAGACAGTTATTTTTTTTCCTATTAGCGAGAAAGTGTCACACTGTGCATAGAAACTTGTTGTATAACATCAGAATCTTTGGTTGGCATATATGTGACGCTAATAAGTTTAAATTATTTTTCTTTATGTATATATTGGCTGAAAAACTTTATGGGTGTATTTAAGCTTAAAGAAATGATCTCCACGCTCCAAGCTCAATTCCAGTAATTTGGTTCTTTTTATAGGTATAATAAAAAATGGTGGTGTAAAACCCAATATCATTCCCTCTTATTCTGAACTAATCTATTACTTCCGTGCACCCTCAATGAAAGAACTTCCAGTTTTGACCAAAAAGGCAGAAGATTGCTTCAGAGCTGCAGCTTTGGCTACTGGGTGCACAGTAAGAACTTTTAAGAGTTAATCTAAGTTATAATCAGAAGTATATATGTGGGCTGGGGTTGTTTATATTAAGTTACATTTAGAACCTAATTTGTCTCCCTTTTATTTGGCAATCAATGCCTTGAAAATGCAAAACCAGTTGACTGAATAGTTGATGTGAAAATCTTTCATTCTTATTTATTTTACTCAGTGTCTGCATAGGGAAGACTGCAGTCGTCTTATTACACAGGACTTAGAATAACTGATATTGCTGAGCTAGACTCCCTGCCTTTTTGCAAGTTATATTTTTCTTTATTGGCAGTTATGCTTTTGGAAATGCTGTATATAGTTCCTGTAAAGGGAACTTTATGGCAAAATCAGCCAAACCTATTTTTGGTGAAGTCACAGGTGTGTGTAATAGTGATATAAATACTTATGGCTTGCTGGAATGAAAGTTAAAATAGACACAGTAGTCAAGAGGTTTTGTTTATTTGACTCATAAAGTCGGCAACATTTATGTACTAATCATATAGGGCATACAGTGGGATGAGAAGCTCCAGAATTGCATAAATCTTGCCCTGGGGCAAGCCTGTAGTCTGGTTGGAGAGAGATAAGATCTGGATTTGTGCCTCTCAGCCTCACTGATTCTGTAACTTTTGGAAATGTTATTTAGTATCTCTGGGCCTCCATTTTTTCTTGAAAAATGGAGATAATGATGTAATCTATCTTAGGGTTCTTATGAGAATTAAATGGCATAATGTTTGTGAAGAGTTAGGGCCAACACCTCATACCTTATTTTTTTCTGCCCTCAGTAGACTGGAGATACATGATTTATTCAGATAGTAAGAGTGATTCTAAGACAGTATATGTTAAGTGGCCAAAGAGTAAAAATTTAAGCATTCATCCCTTATTTATTCATAATTATAGATATTTAAAATATTTATAACATAAAACATGAACTATTATCACTAGCTAATATCCCAAGGTATAATATTGCCTTATAATAAGGTTCATTGTTATTAGATTTGAGTCTATATTTAAGTCTTTTTTTCCTCAGTTTTACTGAGATAAAATTGACATACAGCACTGTATAGGTTTAAGGTATACAACATAATGATCTGACTTACATACATCATGAAATAGATTATCACAATAAGTTTAGTGAACATCCATCATGTCACATAGGTACAACATTAAAGAAATGGAAAAGATTTTTTTCCTTTATGATGAGAACTCTTAGAACTTACCCTAACTTTCATGGATAATGTACAGCAGTGTTAATTATCTTTATCATGTTGTACTTACTTACCTTATAACTGGCAGCTTGTACCTTTTGCCTACTTTTGCCTAATTCCCCCTCCCGCCAGCACGTGACTCTGGAAGCCGTAAATCTGATCTATTTTTCTGTGAGTTTGCTTGTTTTTGAAGTATAATTGACCTACAACACTATGTTAGCTCCTGGTATACAACATAATGATTTCATAGTTCTATTCATTTCAAAATGACCACCATGATAAGTCTAGTTGTCATCTGTCACCATACAAAGATATTACAGAATTATTGACTGTATTCCCCACACTGTACATTTCATACCTGTGACTCATTTATTTTGTACTGAATGTTTGTAATCTCCCTCACCTACTACTCTTTTCTCCCAAACCCCCTTCCCTCTGGCAACAACCTGTTTGTTCTCCTTATGACCCTGTTTCTGTTTAGTTATAGTTGTCCATTTGTTTTGTTTTTTAGATTCCACATGTAAGTGAAATCATACAGTATTTGTCTTTCTTTGTCTGACTTATTTCACTTAACATAATACCCTCTAGGTCCATCCATGTTGTTGCAAATGGCAATGTTTCATTCTTTTTATACAGCTGATTAATATTCCATTGTATATATGTATACCTTTAGCTATTGTTTTTACGTTCCATCTGTTGATGGACACGTAGACTGCTTCCATATCTTGGCTATTGTAGATAACGCTGTAGTGAACATAGGGGTGCATATATCTTTTTGAATTAGCGTTTTTATTTTCTTCACACACCCAGAAGTGGAATTGCTGGAGAGGATGGTAGTTCTATTTTTTATTTTTTGAGGAATCTCCATACTGTTTTCCATAGTGGTTGTACCAATGTAGATTCCCACCAGTGGTGCACAAGGGTTCCCTTCTCTCCACATCCTCACCAACACATATTTGTTGTCTTTTTTGATAATAGCCATTCTGACAGATGTGAGGTGCTATTTCATTGTGGTTTTGACTTGCATTTCCCTAATGATTAGTGATGTCGAGCATCTTTTCATGTGCCTGTTCCTGTCTGTATGTCTTCTGTAGAAAAATGTCTATTCAGGTTCTCTGCCCATTTTTTAATGAAGCTGTTTGGTTTTCTGCTATTGAGTTGTATGAGTTCTTTGTATATATTGGATATTAACCCCTTGTTGGATCTATTGTTTGCAAACATCTTCTCCCGTTCAGTTGTGGCCTTCTTATTTTATTGATGGTAACCTTCACTGTTCAAAAGACTTTTAGTTTGATGTAGTCCCATTCATTTATTTTCACTTTTTTTTCCCTTGCCTGAAGAGACATATCCAAAAAAAAAAATTGCTAAGTCTGATGTCAAAGAGCGAACTGCCTATGTTTTCTTCTAGGAGTTTTATGGTTTTGGGTCTTACATTTAAATCTTTAATCCATTTTGAGTTTATTTTTGTATATGGTGTGAGAAAGTAGTCCAGTTTAACTCTTTTGCATGTGGCTGTTCAGTTTTCCAAACGCCACTTATGGAAAGACTGTCTTTTTTTCATTGTATATTCTTGCTTCCTTTTTTGTAGATTAATTGAGCAAAGGTGCATGGGTTTATTTCTTGGCTGTCTGTTCTGTTCCATTGCTCTATGTATCTGTTTTTGTGCCAGTACCATACTGTTTTGATTACCATAGCTTTGTAGTATAGTTTGAAATCAGGGAGCATGATACCTCCTTTTGTTTTTCTTTCTTAAGATTGTTTTGGCTATTCAGGGTCTTTTGTGTTTCTTTACAGGTTTTAGAATTATTTGTTCTAGTTCTGTGAAAAATGCCATTGGTATTTTTATAGGGATTGCAGTGAATCTGTAGATTTCCTTGGGTAGTATGGTCATTTTAACAATATTAATTATTCCAAACCTTGAACATGGTATATCTTTTCATCTGTTTGTCTCATCTTCATTTGTTTTCATCAGTGTCTTATAGTTTTCCAAGTACAGGTCTTTTACTTCATTAGTTAGATTTATTCCTAGGTATCTTACTCTTTTTGATGAGATCATGAATGGGATTGTTTTCTTAATTTCTCTTTCTGATAGTTCATTGCTAGTGTATAGAAATGCAACAGATTTCTCTATATTAATTTTGTATCCTGCAACTTTACGATATTCACTGATGAGCTCTAGTAGTTTTTTTGGTGGTATCTTTAGGGTTTTCTATGTATAGCATCATGTCATCTGCACACAGTTGACAGTTTTACTTCTTCCTTTCCAATTTGGATGCCTTTTATTTCTATTTTTTATCTGATTGCTGTGGCTAGGACTTCCAATACTAAGTTGAATAGAAGTGGGCAGAGCGGGCATCCCTGTCTTGTTCCTGATCTTAGAGGAAACGCTTTCAGCTTTTTACTGTTGATTAAGATGTTGGCTGTGGGCTTGTCGTATATGACTTTTTTTTAATTATTAATTTTTATTGGAGTATAGTTGCTTTACAGTGTTATGTTAGTTTCTGCTGTACAGCAAAGTGAATCAGTTATACGTATACATATATCCCCTCTTTTTTAGAGTTCCTTCCCATTTAGGTCACGACAGAGCATTGAGTAGAGTTCCTTGTGCTATACAGTAGGTTCTCATTAGTTATCTATTTTATATATAGTAGTGTATGTAAGTCAATCCCAATCTCCCAGTTCATCCCACCCCCCCCTTCCCCGCTTGGTATCCATACGTTTATTCTCTACTTGTGTGTCTCTATTTCTGCTTGGCAAATAATTTCATCTGTATCATTTTTCTAGATTCCACATATAAGCAATATTACACGATATTTGTTTTTCTCTTTCTGACTTACTTCACTCTGTATGACAGTCTCTAGGTCCATCTATGTCTCTGCAAATGGCACAATTTCATTTCTTTTTATGGCTGAGTAATATTCCATTTTATATATGTGCCACATCTTTATCCGTTCCTCTGTTGATGGACATTTAGGTGGCTTCCACATCCTGGCTGCTGTAAATTGTGCTTCAGTGAACATTGGGGTGCAGGTGTATTTTTGAGTTACAGTTTTCTCTAGGTATATGCCCAGGAGTGGGGTTACTGGGTCATATGGTAGTTCTGTTTTTAGTATTTTGAGGGACCTCCGTACTGTTCTCCACAGTGGCTGTACCAGTTTACATTCCCACCAACAGTGTAGGAGGGTTCCCTTCTCTCCACACCCTTTCCAGCATTTATTGTTTGTAGATTTTTTGATGATGGCCATTCTGACTGGTGTGAGGTGATACCTCATTGTAGTTTTGATATGCATTTCTCTAATAATTAGTGACGTTGAGCATGTTTTCATGTATTTGTTGGCCATCTATATGTCTTCTTTGGAGAAATGTCTATTTAGGTCTTCCACCCATGTTTTGATTTTTTTTTTGATATTGAACTGCATGAACTGTTTGTATATTTTGGAGATTAATCTCTTGTCGGTTGTTTCATTTGCAAATATTTTCTCCCAGTCTGAGTGTTGTCTTTTCGTTTTGTTTATGGTTTCCTTTGCTTTGCAAAAGCTTTTAAGTTTAATTAGGTCCCATTTGTTTATTTTTGGTTTTATTTTCATTACTGTAGGAGTTAGGTCAAAAAAGACTTTGCTGCAATTTATGTCGAAGAGTGTTCTGCCTGTGTTTTCCTCTAAGGGTGTCTGGCCTTACATTTAGGTCTTTAATCCATTTTGAGTTTATTTATTCTTTTACATGTAGCTGTTCAGTTTCCCAGCACCATTTATTGAAAGACTGTCTTTTCTCCATTGTATATTTTTGCTTCCTCTCTCATAGATTAGGTGACCATAATTAGGTGCGTGGGTTTATCTCTGGGCTCTGTATCCTGTTCATTGATCTATATTTCTGTTTGACTTTTGTTATTGAGGTATGTTCCCTCTACACCTCCTTTGTGGAGAGGTTTTTGTTTGTTTGTTTTAATTTATTTATTTTATTCTTGGCTGCGTTGATTCTTCGTTACTGCGTGCAGGCTTTCTCCAGTTGCGGTGAGCGGGAGCCACTCTTTGCCATGGTGTGTGGGCTTCTCATTGCAGTGGCTTCTGTCATTGCGGAGCACGGGCTCTAGGCACGCGGGCTCAGTATTTGTGGCACATGGGCTCAGTAGTTGTGGCTCGCGGGCTCTAGAGCACAGGCTCGGTAGTTGTGGTGCACGGGCTTAGTTGCTCCGCGGCAGGTGGTATCTTCCCGGACCAGGGCTTGAACCCATGTCCTCTGCATTGGCAGGTGGATTCCTAACCACTGCGCCACCAGGAAAGTCCCTGAGAGTTTTTATCATAAAGGGATGTTGAATTTTGTCAAAAGCTTTTTCTGCATCTACTGAAATGATCATATGATTTTTATTCTTCAATTTATTAATGTGGTGTATCACGTTGATTAATTTGTGGATATTGAACCATTCTTGTTGCATCCTTGAGATAAATTGCACTTGATCGTAGTATATAATCCTTTTAATGTATTGTTGAATTCAGTTTGCTGATATTTTGCTGAGGATTTTTGCATCTATGTTATCAGTGATACTGTCCCGTAATTTCATTTTTTGTGACATCTTTGTCTTGTTTTGGTGTCAAAGCGATACTGGCTTTATAGAATGAGTTTGGAAGTGTTCCTTCCCTGCAACTTTTTGGAATAGTTTGAGGATAGGTATTGACTCTTTTCTAAATTGTTTGGTAGAATTCACTTGTGAAGTCACATGATCCTGGACTTCTGTTTATTAGAAGTTTCTTTTTATTAGTGATTCATTTCATGAATTTCATTACTGGTAATTGGACTGTTCATATTTTCTGTTTCTTCCTGTTTCAGTCTTGGGAGATGGTACATTTTTAGGAATCTGATTATTTCTTCTAGGTTGTCCACTTTACTGGCATATAATTGTTCATAGTAATCTCTTGGGATCCTTTTGTTTTTCTGTGGTGTCATTTGTAACTTTCCCTTTTTCATTTCTGATTTTAGTGATTTGGGCCCTCTCTTTTTTTCTTGATGAGTCTGGCTAAAGATTTGTCAATTTTATTTATCTTTTCAAAGAACCAGCTCTTAGTTTCTATATTTTCTGTTGTTTTTTTAGGCTCTATTTTGTTTATTTCTGCTCTGATCTTTATGATTTCTTTCCTTCTACTAACTTCAGGTTTTGTTTGTCCTTTTCTAGCTCCTTTAGGTGTAAGGTTAGATTGTTTATTTGAGATTTTTCTTGTTTCCTGAGCTAAGCTTGTATTGCTGTAAACTTCTCTCTCAGAACAGCTTTTGCTGCATCTCATGGATTTTGCATTGTTGTGTTTCCATTTTCATTTGTCTCCAGGTATTTTTATTTCCTCTTTGACTTATTTAGTGACCCATTGGTTGTTTAGGAGCATTGTTTAGCTTCCACACATTTGTGATTTTTGCAGTTTTTTTCTTGTAGTTGATTTCTAGTCTCATATGTGTGGTCAGAAAAGATGCTTCATATGATTTCAGTCTTCTTAAATTTACTGAGACTTGTTATGTGGTCTAGCATGTTACCTGTCCTGGAGAATGTTGTATGTATCCTTGAAAAGAATGTGTATTCTGCTGCTTTTGGATGGAATGTTCTATATATATCTGTTAAGTCCATCTGGCCTTAATGTGTCATCTAAGGCCAGTGTTTCCTTATTGGTTTTCTGTTTGGATGATCTATTCCTTGATGTAAGTAGGGTGTTAGTATGTTGCAGTCAGTTTCTCCCTATATGTTAGCTAATATTTGCTTTATGTATTTTGGTGTTCCATATGTTGGGTGCATGTATATTTATAAATGTTATATCTTCTTGTTGGATTGACCTCTTGATCATTATGTAATGTCCTTCTTTGTCTCTTGTTACAGTCTTGTTTTAAAGTCTGTTTTGTCTGAGTATTGCTCAGTATTGCTATCCTGTATTGCCAGTATTGCTATCCTGGCTTTCTTTTCATTTCCATTTGCATGGAAATGCCTTTTTCCATCCCTTCACTTTCAGTCTGTCTATGTCTTTAGATCTGAAATGAGTCTCTTGTAGGCAGCATATATATGGGTCTTGTTTTTGTATCCATTCAACCACTCTATGTCCTTTTTTTTTTTTTTTTTTCCAGCCATGCCATGTGGCTTGCAGGATCTTACTTCCCTGACCAGGGATTGAACCTGGGTCCCAGCAGTGAAAGCAATGAGTCCTAACCACTGGACCACCAGGGAATTCCCCATATTTGGATTTTTCTCTCTTTTTTTGTATATGTATCTATTATAGACTTTTGGTTTCCATGAGGTTTATAAATAGCAATCTATATACATTTGTGGTTATTTTAAGTTACTGATCTCTTAAGTTTGAATGCATTTTAACAATCCTGTGTTTTTATTCCTTCCCCTCACCTTTACTGTTTTTGATATCATATTTTACACACCCTTTTCTTCTGTGCATCCCTAAACTCCTTATTATAGATAAGATATATATCTGTATCCTTCCTACTAGCTTTATAAGTGGTTGATCTATTGATACTACCTTTACTGTGTATTTACCTTTAGCAGTGTGGTTTTTCCTTTTGTAATTTTCATATTTCTAGTTGTGTGGCGAGAAGTCCTTTTAACGTTTCTCGTAAAACTGGTTTTGTGATGCTGAACTCTTAACTTTTGCTTGTCTGTAAAACTTTTGCTCTCTCCTTCAAATGAATGAAAGCATTGTCAGGTAGAGTATTCTTGGTTGTAGGTTTTTCCCTTCCATCACTTTAAGGATTGATATATTGTGCTATTCCCTTCTGGCCTGCAGAGCTTCTGCTGAAAAGTCAGCTGATGGCCTTATGGGAACTCCTTTGTACGGAACTTGTTGCTTTCTTCTTTCTGCTTTTTATATTCTCTCTTCATCTTTTAAATTTTTAAAAAATTTATTTATTTAATTTATTTATTTTTGGCTGTGTTGGGTCTTTGTTGCTGTGCACGGGCTTTCTCTAGTTGTAGCGAGCGGGGGCTACTCTTCGTTGAGGTGCGCAGGCTTCTCATTGCGGTGGCTTCTCTTGTTGCAGAGCACTGGCTCTAGGCATGTGGGCTTCAGTAGTTGTGGTGCAAAGGCTCAGTAGTTGTGGCTCGCAGGCCCTAGAGCGCAGGCTCAGTAGTTGTGGCGCACGGGCTTAGTTGTTCTGCGGCATGTGGGATCTTCCCAGACCAGGGTTCGAACCCATGTCCCCTGCCTTGGCAGGTGGATTCTTAACCACTGCCACCAGGGAAGCCCCTCTCTCTTTATCTTTAATTTTTGCCATTTAAGGACGGCATGATCCTCTTTGGGTTGATCCTATTTGGGATTCTCTGTGTTTTCTGGACTAGATGTCTGTTTCCTTTCCCAGGTTAGGGATGTTTTCAGTTATTATGTCTTCAAATATGTTCTCTGCTCCTTTTTCTCTCTCTTCTCCTTCTGGGACCCTGATAATATGAATGTTAGTACTCTTGATGTTGTCCCAGAGGACTCTTAAACTGTCTTCATTTTTAAAAATTCATTTTTCTTTTTTCTCTTCAGCTTGAGTGATTTTCACTACTCTGTCTTCCAGTTTGCTGGTCCATTCGTCTGTATCGTCTAATCTACTATTGATTCCTTCTAGTGTATTTCTTATTTCAGTTATTGTATTCTTTAGCTCTCAATCTTTTTTATGTTTTCTAACTCTTTGTTAAAAAATTCTGACTCCTCATTCTGTTCATTCATTCTTCTGAGTTTTTTGAGCATCTTTATGATTGTTACCTTAAACATCTTATCAGATAGATTGCTTATCTCCTCTTCTCCTATATTTTAAATAGTCTTTTAATAATTTTTTGTTTTGGCTGACTTGTATCTACTTAGGTTGTCATTGTTTCTAACTTAGATGTTGCTAAAAGTAGAATATTATCTCTGCCATTTTATAATTGGTTTTTGCTAATGCTATTGGGATTATCTTTAGTTTGTGGGAGTATTGCCCATTTTTGATTTAGTCAAATCTAAATCTGTAAATCCTCTTAACTGGGCACATACAAACTGCTTCTGTATCTTCATGCACTGAAATTAATAAATGAGGACCACAGTCAACCTTTCCGCATTGTGAATCTTCTGTCTTGCTCAGGATATGTTATACCTTTCAGACCAGGCAGTGGTGTCAGTGTCAGTTTGTATATTGAAAATTGGTAAATCTTGATTTCTTTCTTTTAGAGGCTATAGCCTACGGCAGTATTTCTTAAGCATGTGATTTTGGGACCACATGCATCAAAATTACTTGGGGGTGCTGGCTAAAATGGAGACTCCTGGCCTCTCCCACACCCTGTTTAGGGACTGAAGTTGAGACTCACTGACTAGGTGACCTCGTGTGCTTTGGTGCATATATATAATGTAAAGGAGAGAGGGTCCTAGGAACTCCCGTTATAGAAAAACATACTTTTTTAAGGTAAAAGATTTGAGAGAGTTTATATCCTGAAGGGGAGGTGCCTCCTCTTAAACCTCTTTCTGTTAGAGAACTATTGCTAGTTTGAAAATTAGATAGTGAATTTGAGTTTCTTAATTCAAAATTTGTTTTATAATTTTTTTATTAGGTAGAAATTAAAGGTGGAGCACATGATTATTACAATGTTCTTCCCAATAAGAGCCTGTGGAAAGCTTATATTGAAAATGGAAAAAAGCTGGGAATGGACTTCATTTCAGAAGATGCAATGTTGAATGGCCCTTCAGGTGATTAAGTTCTTTCAAACATATTATATGCTATTTGAGGAAGGGAAGTACCATCCATGGTTAAATGGTTTTGTTTAACAGCTTTCGGGGTTGGGGGAGGTATTGCTCGTGATTTTTAATGAATTTTTTCACAAACTTAATGGGTAGGGGAAAGACACTAATGCACTCCTCAGTGAATGTAGAATGTCAAGTGAACAGATTTGTTTTTAGAAATAGCCAACATACTCTTTGCTTTATATTCTAAATATTTCTAGTGTTTAAATTTGCTTAGTTCTAATTTTTAAGTAAGCTACTTAAAGGGGAAATAGAACTTTAATTCATCTCCAGTCATCAGTAAGCAGGTTACTAAGGACTTAGTTATATGGGGGCATTTTCAGTTTCTGAGGAGTAACAAACAGTTATTAGAATTTAAATAATCATAAGCATATCAGGTTATTTTAGGTTTTTTTCCTTTTAAGAGCATTATTATGTTTGCATGTTAGAAAAGCCTCTCTTAAAATATAATAATAAATGTTGATGAAATAGACTCAGAGGGACTTGGAGATAAAAACAGGGTGTTGATGTCATTCAGTGAGATAAGAGTTCAAGAGAAAGAGCAGGCTGGAGTATGGTAGGTTGGTATTAATTATTAGTTTGTTAAATTTGAGGTGTTCACAGGACTTCTAAGGAAAGCTGTCCAGTAGCCTGTTCCAAAAGTTGTTTGGGAGGAGACTTAGGGGTTGTCAATACATGAGAGGTGATTGAAAACATAGGTTTCAATGTGGATGAGGTTGCCCAAGTACACAGGAGGAGGAGTAGCCCAGAGATGAAACCCTAGGGATCACCAGTACTCAGGTGACAGGTGAAGGAAAGTGACTAGAGAGGGAGACAGAGGAAGCCAGACAGTCAGGAGAGTGGAGTCATGGAAACCAAAAGAGTAGAGAGTTTCTAGAAAGGAAGGAGCAGTAAATCATGTCAGGTGCTATAGAGATTAAGATAAGTGTGCTTTAGCGCCCATTGGACTAGCAATTAGAAATTCATGGTTTGTCTTACCTTTCCAAGGATCTACTGATTTTGGAAATGTTACTTTTGTGGTTCCTGGGATTCATCCATATTTTTACATTGGCTCTAATGCCTTGAATCATACAGAACAATATACTGAAGCTGCAGGTAAGTGTTATTACAAGTGAATGTTTTCGCATATACTCTTTTCGTAGTAGTAGTTGCCTTTCTAACTGTTTAGGTTAGCCTGTTATTACTTCTTTACCTAACAACACCTCAGGAAATACTATATTGTGGTGGGCAGTTGGAGAGGCAATTTAGATATTGAGAGCTAACCAGAAAACTATTAGTAATTGTAGTAATTGTAGTACATATGAGGTTATCTTTATTCATTTTATCTACCTTTTAGGATCACAAGAAGCTCAGTTCTACACTTTGCGAACGGCCAAAGCTCTGGCAATGACTGCATTGGATGTTATTTTTAAACCAGAGCTGCTAGAAAGAATCAGAGAGGACTTTAAATTGAAACTTCAAGAAGAAGAGTTTTTAAATACAGTAGAATAAAAGGAAGATTTAGGAGCCACTCACGGATCATGAAGAAGTGATGATTTTCTTCTTTAATCTTTTTTAATGAGGGAGGAGGGCATGGCTTGTTTTTCAGTCTTAAGGGAGTCATATTCCCCTTACCTGAAAAGTGAGGACACGATGTGGAGAAAACACATTACCTCATATCTAGAGTGAAAATTTCACAAATCTGTATATGATGGAATTGTGACATTTCAGGGCTGGTATGTAATGGCATTTCATAAACAACCTGGATGACACATGGTTTATCAGTGATAACATTTTAGAAATCCATATGTTGTGTGAGTGTATTTTGAAAGATCCAAGAGATTTCAAGCCTTATATCCAGAATTGCCACATGAAAGATTTTTTTTGATATAGGGTGGTAACATTGTTCTATAAAGTTGCTTTAAAATTCAAGTTCTAAATTTAGGGAAGGTTCATTTGGAATATCTGACTGTATCTGTTTTGGTTTAGAGAATTTCTTCATTGACAATAAAAGTATGCTTTTTATCAGAAATGCTGTGGGGAAACAACTAGAAACTCAGGTACAAAGAATAAGCTTTAGTTTTACCATTTGAAGGAAAATGAAAATGTTCTTTTTTATATATAATTTACTCTGAGAGGTGGCATTAAAGTGCTATTCCTCATTCCATATTTCAGTAATAGAAAAAATGGTAAATGGATAGGATTAGACTCTTCCTGTAAGGTGTTTGCTTGGTAGCCCCATGTGTTCCAGAGGAATTTAATTAGAGGAGTGATGTCTGCTTATCTTGAATGTTAATGCCATATAACTGATCCCCTCCACCTAGCAGCCCTCTTCAGGTTTCTTCTCAGAAGCTAGCCTGTCCAGCTTGAGTAAACTCAGTAGTTTATTAAATTTAGGGGACAGAATTCTAAGCCTCCTTAAGCCCCATGCTAGCTCAATATAAACTAAAAAGTATTGTAAGTTTTTCCTGGTGTGACTTTCTTGAACATGATAAAAGAATGTGAAACAAGTATCCGGTAAAACAAATATTTTACGCTGTGAATATAGTAAAGGTCCAGTAGACTTTATTTTAAAGGGAGTCCTCAAGTTTGAGTGTAAGCATTCCAGAAATGGAAGGGGAAGGAGGGAAAAGTGAGCATTTGGCCTCTGCTGTAAGCAAGTCACTTGGGTGCTCTGTGCCTTCAGCTCCTCATTTGGAAAGTTAGATTAGATCCCTCATCCTTACAGTCCTTTAAACCTCTAGTTCCTATTCTATCTGAAATTATTTAAAGTTGAAACAAGGAGAAGGGAATTTGAGTGGAGAGTTAGTAGTTGAGAATTGCTTTTCTTCTGCATCAGAGGTCTGCAGACTGCGGCCTGATTTGGCAAGCAGCCTGATTCTGTATGGCTAGCATTCTGGAAATGGTCTGTACATTTTTAAAGGGTTGTAGAAAAAAATAAAGCATCAGAGACCAGATCGTTTGACCTGCGAAACCTAAAATATTTACAATCTGGCCCTTTGTAAGATAAAGTTTGCCAGCCCATCCTATGTAACAGTAAAATAAAAACTGTTTCTCTTTGACTACATCATATAATCAGATCTTCTCCTAGAAGAAAACTTGAAGCCTCTGAACTGAAAACATGAAGAAAGGGATTTAGACAGCAGTGCTCTGTGTTGACCATTATAATGCATCAGTGGTTTCTCCTCATTGAGGGTTCTGGCTCTTTCGAAGTTTGCTTTCTTTTAGCATTTACTTTGTTCTGGGATACAGCTACCCTGCTGCCTTAAGGCTGTCCTCTGTGCAAGCTGTTCTTCTAACCCTTCACATCAGCTTTTAGAACATGATCCTCCATGACACTCTGATTATTTATAACCTCAAACAGGCATGGTTGGTATGTACTTTACAAACAGAAGAGGGATCAACAAAGGCTTCACGCTGAGAATTGGATATGTCCAAGACCTCTGGTTTATAAAAACAGAATTAGTTTCCTAATTATCAATTTAATACATTTCTCAACTACAAGCTTCAAATTCCTTATATAAATCCTGCACTCTAAGGAATGTGGTTTTATTTTCTAAAGCCTCGCTAAAATTCTAGAACAGTGATTGTTAACCGGTGTCCTGACACACATATTCTCCTGTCTCTTGTGAACTGTCACAAGTTTATTGTTACTCATACAAAGTATTTGTGATGAATTTACTTTTTAAAACCGAATTAGAGAAAATGTCAGGTTAGCTTTCTGTTGTTGCCGATTCACTTGTGTTCTGATAAGCATCCTGCATGAGAGAGCAAGGTGTCGAGTTGCTGCTGATGTGCAGGGGAGAGGTACAGTCTGTACCAGTGCTATCCGCCACAACCCAGTCAGAGGAGGTAATGTTGACAATACCGCTAAGATTTCTGTCCCTTCGGAGTTTCTGTAAGATTTTGTTTTCCTTTCAATATTTAAAAAACTTGGTCAAAATATGGGATTACCCATTGAAATATGTCCTGGATTTATCATGTCAGAAAAGAGGTTGAGATGCTCCAGAGTCTATCTAGAAGTATGTATTTTTTTTCCCCAGATCTCACCTTGACATTTTACATTATTTTACTTTAAGTTATTTAATATAATTCAGACTTTTTAAATCCCTTTTTATATATCAATGAATTAACTGAGCCATATTACACTGAAAAGTGTAAATAAATAACATAAATAAATGCTGAGTCAAAAAATCTGTCCAGAGGAACAATTGTAGCTAATCTTCACTCTGCCCTTTGAATTTGGGAGACTACTTCATTTGTAATGGTAGTTTTTCCTTTTGGAACTAAGTTCGTTCTTTATCCTCATACTTCAATGGCATGTTTGGAATGTGCTAAATTTTCATAAACATTTATACTTAAATTATCATTATTGATTAGTCCTCATATTTTGGATTAAGTCTCCAAAGATTTTGGAAGATAAATGGGGAAGCACTCGATTACAGGAGAACAGTGTCACTTCTAGATAAAAAGGGTTATATATAGCTCTTTATATTTAAAAGATGAATATTTATTTTTAGGAGGTTGACACATGAATAGGACTTTTTCAAAATTTTGTGTCTTGATTTTGAGGAAAGGGGCAACTAAGTTTTTCTCCCAGAATTAATTTGAATGATGACACTTTACTGTCACTTGGATTCAGTGATTGTGTGTTATTCCTCCACTAGATTGTATGTTCTTTGAAGCCATTGTCTTCTCAATATGCTTAATTTCCTTCAAGTACACTAAAACCTGACTCATCTGGAAAAAAACAGGCCAAGCTGAGTTCATGTAAAGTTTAAAATAATATAATTTTTAAAATATTGAATTAGTTTCTGACCTAAACTAGAGATATAGGTGGACCTGCTTGAGGTATCTTTGTTTTTAAGGAAAATGCTTTTATTACATGCCTTTTTTTTTTTTTTTTTTTTTTTTTCACTGTTCACAGGCTGAACGAAAGGCCTTTTCCTCAAATAGCAACGTTTGGCTATCTTTGTTAAATTAATAGACTTTAAAGGTATAATTCAAATTAATGGTTTAAATTTAATTATAGATTGAAAATGTTTTCTCTTTTGTGACTTAATTTTAAAAGCAGGCCTGACTGAATATGGGGCCTGTATAAAACAATTATACTGAACAATTATATTAGACTGAGTATAGCTAATATTTAGCTTGCCTCTTAAAATTCTCAGACTGCTATTCAGTTTTAAAAACTACCCATAGTTTATGAACTACTCAGGAAGATTTTCACTTTTAATTGCTTCTTCGTGTAGTACTCATAAGGGCTGGGACATTTAGGATAAACTAGAACATTTTCATGTGTTTTATGAATACTTGTATAAACTGAAAGTGTTTTGATTTCCCACAATCCTCCAAAGGACTGTTTATTTATTGATGAGTTGTGTTGATATTTTTGCTGTTACAATTTCAGCAATGGAGTTCAGTGAACGTTTGTCAAGGAGAGCCTACTTCTAAGCACTGGGGGGAAGACAAAGAGTAAGATATGGTCCATGCCCCCAAAAAACTTGTGGTTGGTGGTAAGTTCTCATAAGATTTGCTTCATCTGAGCACACTGGGATTGAGGGAACATCTGAAGGCTGCTGTCTTGGAAATTTTTGAGGAAGTGTTTCTAAAACATTTAAAAATACCTGAGTCATGTCAGTCTGTTTGAATAGAAGAAATCGATATGAAAAGTCTTTTCTTAAAAAATGATTGTCTTATTTTATAGTATATTCTTTTTAAAAAAACATTTCTGATAGCTGTGTTTTATACATTTCTTTTTATCTGAAGCATCTCTGGTCTTCTGGAAAATGTCCTACATAGTGCTAGCCTTCAAACTATCGAAGTAAATTTTCATTGTAAAATAAATTAATTGTCTTTGTGCCAGCTAGCAACTCTTTATAAGTCTGTAAGGTATGAAAAATTACATCTTTATTTTTTTTACATACTTCAGGCATTTTACAAACCAATTAAATAGTTGAGGATAATGCATTTTGACATGTATAAAATAATTTTTTCAAGTAAGCAATCAGTCTCTACTACCATCAGATCATAGTCATTTTTAAAATATTTTAATACATACATATTAAAGTATGTATGAAAAAATCTAAAATGTTAATAAATGTTTATCAAATAGCAATGGTCTTGGGGTTTTTTTCAACATAATTAAGGAGTTTTAAAAATATATGAAGATAAAGCACAGTTACCCAAATACAGTGTGATATATTATATTCCCTCATGCATCAGTATTACAGATGTTGATTTGCTTTTAAACTTTAAACGTATTATTTATATGAGAATTTTAAAAGAACAGTTAAGTTCTTTTGTTTAAAAATAAATGTTTTACTAGTCTCGGATGCTGAAAAATGCCAATGCAAGTTTTACATGGTAAGAGGTAGGTACATAATTACAGTATTGAATTTTCTTTAAAAATTATTTTTCAACTTCAGTACAAAGTAATTTCATGTAATAACTCAAATGCAGTAGAGCAGGTTTTTAGATTCTTAACAATGGCTAAAGAATAAGTGCCTCACGTAAGAAAAATTAAAGGTGTCTGTGTTGTTTGGTTGAAACTTTCTTTCAAAATAGAGTCCAAGTCTGTTCTTTTTTTCCAGTGATTAAAATGTAAGATTAGCTTTGGTTGGTTCAGTGGATAAAAGCGTCCAATCACCTTAAAATATAAACCTCAGAAATACAAAACACAAAAGAATATCAGGTCAAGGTCTTAAATAGACAAGAATCTCGTTTAGGTCAAAGACTAAGTAGACATTGCCCCAGTGGGTAAACAATAAAT